ACACTCCTGTGTGCTTTTTCCCTCTGCTGTTTCCTTGCTTTTCCCACACTCTGGGAAACTCAAGATTGATGTTTGGAGATGTAGAATTCCCTCCCTTTCCCTGGCAATAATTGCAACACCACGTGCAGAAAGGTGATGCCATGTCAGAAGTGCCTGGATGGGAAGCAGTGATGCTTGTTTCCCTGGCTCTGGAGCACTGCAGAGGCTGCCAGAGCCAGAGCTGGGCCCTTGGTGAGCCCAGAATTCTGTGGCTCAGAGGGACACAGGCAGCTTTCTAGAAGAACTCCATGATTTCTGGAAGAATTGCAACAAATCTAGCTTTTTAAGAAATTACTTTTAATTTTTGTTGAGTTGTCATGTTCTAGCAGAAATAATTTTTCAATCAGCTAATTTTTAGGTTTTTTTCATTTGCCAAATATTCCAGAGTGGAACAGCCACAATAATAGGTCTGTGGTCCTATTGTGTACAATTTCCACAGCTTTCCTAGCAGTAAAGACACCACTTAGGAAGAAATATGAGAACTCATGTACCAAATCAAAAGACTTTTCCCTCAGAGTGACAATTCTGGGTGACAGTTCTTAGATGCTGATTAACCCACTGTGGAAAAGGGCATTTTTTCCTGGTTCTATTTGAGTTCCCTTACTAGTCTGCAGCCCAGCTCCCTGTACAAATCACAAACCCTCAAGGCAGTCTGTTCTCAAGCAAGACTGAAAAGAGCATTTGGAGCACCTCCCTGCAATCCTGCACCGCTCTCAGATGATGCTCGAGGACACTGGAATCCTTTGCAACATTCCGTACACTGAAATGGCTTTCCAGGGTGTGCATGGACAAAGACAAAAATGAAACTCTTCAGATTGTGCAGGTGAGTTTTACTCCACCAGGAAAGGCACAACACCTTTCACACCCCAGCCATGTGTCCCGACTATTGGATCCACACACATTTCACAGCCATACCTTTGCCTTCGATGGGGTGTTCCTGCTCAAAACAGGGCATGTTTGCTTCTGCCTTCTCTTTGTAATTGAAAACCTCTTAGAAATGAGCAGGGGAAGTGCAGGAACACTACAGACTGGTAGAGGTTTGGCTGAACCTGAGTTTCTCACATCAAAAACTCCAGGAGCTGGCAGTAACTCTCCCTCAGCTTCTTCCCCCGTGATCCAACACCCCCCTGGCCTCTAGAAAAGTGAGAGTGCTGGCAAACCTGCATTTTCCACAGCTGGGAATGCAAACTAGTCAGGAAATTAAAGGAGGGATGTGTGATTGTACCATCATTCCCATGAGAAGTTCAGCTTGCTACCTCAGTATACATTGATCATGCAAATAAAATATCAGAACTTTTCTGTTATTAGTCTCCTCATGGGTGGATGAATATATTAAAGTTTATAAGGCTCTGTGATGAATGCTGCTCAAGAATTGCAGCACACCCCGACAGATCATCTAAACCCATGTAAGTGATATTCATTTATGTTAGATTTTTAGTTAGAACTGCAAAGGGCTCCCTTGGTTAATGACATTTTTCAATCTTCTTATGCTTCTTCATAGATTCAGGATAGAAAAGTATTCCCTTTCCCTTTTGGTGCTTGTTGCTAGAGGTGTCCTGATAATCAGACTAATCTTGGGCCCAATCTTCAATTCCTAGCAGCTCAGGAAACTGAAATGCCCAGGCAATTTATTCTCTATATATCGTCAACTAGGTAACACTTGATTTCTCATTTATGACTGCATTTTATTGTTTTCAGCTGAAATCCAGCATGTGTGTTTTCAACAGATTATCTCCACAATCACTTTCTTTTTGCTATGGAAATGATCTGAAAATTGTTCTTTGATACGAGAGAAGAGTTCACAAGGCCACACTGTACAAAAGCTTGAATGGTGCAATTATCATTTGTAAAGAGAAACTGTTATCAAAGTAACTGCAGGGGACACCTCCAGGACTCCTCTTAGAGTCAGGAAATTTGAAACATAGATTTCTCTAACATGAATTTCACTCCAAAGCCTTCTGAATAATTCATGGGAGCTGATTTAATGCCATAGTTAAGCCTGGCACTGAGGACAGGGATCGGGGTGGGGGTTCTGCCACAGATGGAGGATTTCCCCAGTTCCTCTAGGGCTGGGGACAGAGCTGGGGTCTCATCACTGGGGATTTGTACCCAGGTGCCTTTAGTTTGGGAGAGTCCATTCCCTGAGATCAGCAGCCTTTAGGGAAAGGCTGGGGCAGAGGGGGGTCCCTCTTTGTGCCCAGGCTGCCTGCTGGGGAGCAGGAAGGCAAAGGGAGCAGGAGCCCCCATCTCTGTCCCCAGCAGAGCTCATGGCCATCAGAACCTGAGCTTCTGGTTTTCTTAAGCAGCATCAAGTGGCTGGGAGAACAGGTGTTCTCTGTTCTTTAAAGAAAAAGGTACCTGGACGTGAGAGAGCACCATTTTGTTCTTCAGTCATTAATTGCTAGGAAATGGTAGTTTACAGAGCAGTAAGGGGAAGAGCTGGTGTTTATCATGTGAGCAATCCTGAAAGAGGGAGTCTGGCTTTAACTCTCATCTCAAGAGTCCACAGACAGGCACATCAGCTGAGGGGACACTTGCAGCTTGCACTTTCCCTTGTAAAAGTAAAGGGGTCAGAGACAATGGTGTTCTGACACTGCAGCTGGCAAATTCCTGTTGTCTCCCACCCTAGCATGAGTGGGAGAACTAAATCTATCCCTCCCTACCCCTGGGGATGTTTTGAGCACAGCTAACTTCCATGAACTCAGGATTTCAACCCACAGGGCTCTGGTTTGTTATGGTGCTAAAGCTGTCCAGGACTCCCATTCCCATTATGCAGCACAGCCTGCAGACCAAATGCCTTTTGGTGTTGGCTGGATTTTTAAAAAAGGACGTGAGGAAATAGAAAACAACCCTTTTATGGGACTTACCAGTATTTAATCCCAAGGAACTTTTCTAATGCCAGCTGCCCCTTTGTTTTTTTTCACAGACAGTGAAACTAACATGTATATATTTTGACCAAAGGGTGGCACAATACTGTGGTTTTGTTAATTCTCAGAGGCCAAATTCCTCCCCTACCAAAACAGGGTGCTGATGTACAGAACAAAGATGCTGAGCAATGCTGAGCATAAGTATGTTTGAGTGTCAATACAACTGGGAAGGCCAGGAGGTTCTCACACAGATGTAAAGCTGATGAGTTGAAATACACAACTATGATAGTTGTGTCCTTGGCAATCTCATTTTGCTGAAAAGTCCTGTATTCTTGTTAATTATTCTCTGTGTAATATGCCAGATTTTATATTTAAATGGCAGTCATAGGTGGTTATTATAACTTACAGATATTCCAGAGCCAGATATTGTCCTTATGAGACTTGAGGAACAGGAGAAAACATGCAGCTGTGCCATCAGAAGTTGGTCCTTACCCAGCTTGTTCTAAAGCTTCTATTTTTCAAATTTTAATCACTGCCTCATGCTATAGATGACACCTACTGGGCAAAGGAAGGCCTGGCACACCCAGCATTCCACAGGCTCCTGAATATTTGGTTATTTCCTGAGACAGAAACAAATCCTCTTCATCCTCTGTGACAAGATTTTGTTGGACTCCTCATACAGGCTGGCAATTTCCAGCTGAGGAAGGAAAGAAGCACAAGTCCTCAACTCACAAAAACTTGTGGGATAAAAAGTGCTTGTGTTGGATGGTTTTTGATACCACATACTTTCATCCCAGCACACCCATGGATTCATTGGGTGGCTGGTCACAAGTGGTTTCCCCTGGGCTTGGGACTGAGGAATCAACAAAGATTAATGTCATTGTTGATGAGGAGATGAAGTGCACACACATTGTGTTCAGAGAAGGCACTAAATGGGGCAGGAATGTGGATCTGTTGCAGGGCAGGAAGGCTCTGCACAGAGATGGGCTGAGGCCACTGGTCTGAGCTTCTACAAGACCCAGTGCTGGGTCCTGCCCTTGGGTCAGACCAACCTCCTGCAGCTGCAGGCTGGGGCAGAAGGGCTGGAAAACTGGGAAAAGGGTGGGCTGGTGACAGCAGCTGGATGTGAGCCCAGGTGGGCAAGAGACCAGTGGCCCCTGGGCTGTCCCAGCAGCAGGGCAGTGACTGTCCCCTGTGCTGGCACTGCTGGGGCCACACCTGAGTGCCAAGGGCAGTCCTGGCCCTCATGACAAGAAAGACATGGAGTGGCTGGAGCATGTCCAGGGAAGAGAATGGTCCTGGGGCAGGGTCTGGAGCACCAGGAGCAGTTGAGGGAGCTTGGGGGGCTCTGTGGTGTTTGCAAGGGTCAGGATGAGGGAAGGGATTAATCTGACTCCATGTTCTCAGAAGGCTGACTTATTATATTATATTAAAAGAAATTATATACTAGAACTATACTAAACTATATAGAAAGGCTTGAAAAGAATGAATAATAAAAACTCGTGACTTCTCAGAGCCTCAACACAGCTGGCTTTGATTGGTCATTAAGTTAAAAAAATTCACATGGAACCAATGAAAGAATCACCTACCACAATCCAAAGCAGCAAAACAGGAGAAGTAAATCAGATAATTATTATTTACATTTTCCTCTGAGGCTTCTCAGCCTCCCAGGAGAAGAAATCCTGGTGAAGGGATTTTTCAGAAAATATCAGGGTGACAGGGCTGAGTCTGGAGGAAAGGAGGCTCAGAGGGGCCCTTCTCAGTCTCCACAGCTCCCTGACAGGAGGGTGCAGCCGGGGTGCAAGTCAGGCTCTTCTGCCATGTCTCAAGAGAAAGGATTAGAAGAAATGGCCTCAAGCTGTGACAATTTGAAAATAATCTTTCACTGAAAGAGTGGTCAGACTCTTGAATAAGTTGCCCAGGGAGATGGTTGGAGTCACCATCTCTGAATTCCAGAGATGTCTGGAATGTTCCAGAGGTGTCTGAATGTGGCACTTGAGACATGGTTTAGGGGTGATTATGGTGATGCTGGGCTGATGGTGGGACTTGATCCTGAAAGTGGGCACTTGAGACATGGTTTAGGGGTGATTATGGTGATGGTGGGACTTGATCCTGAAAGTCTCTTCCAGCCTTGATAATTCTGTGATTCATGAATACCACAGGAGTGAAGCAGGCACCACACAACCTAATGAACTTAAACTGCAAAATAGAGAGGGTAGAAACAGCCAATTACTACTGCATTTTCAAAATATAGCAACATCGCCATCTCTTTGGTTTCTCAGTTAAAATGCTGAAAGGAACTCTGCAAAACACTTTCAAAAGCAAATTACTAGATATTAAAACACCCCCACAAACTGAGTGAAATTTAAGTTTCCACCACCCACTGTCAGCTACTTTGCAGATGTGCCAACTGCTTGTGTCTGCTCTGAGGCTGAGTCATCTGATCCTTCCCAACAAACCCCATCATCTCCAGCCACCTCCAGGCTTTACTGAAGGTAATTCCACTTTTCATTTGTGGTTGAGACTTTTCAACAAGTGGTTGAGACAAAACAATAATTCAGAGCAATTTATTACAGCTTGCATTTGGTTTTAAACTGGCTCCTTTGATTACAGATCTGAAGGACAGCCCATGGGCCCCAAACCTAGTCCACTTTTCTAGTTGGTCCAGGTTTGACAATTTGAATTCAGCAAGGTTTTGCAGTGGTTCTTCCAGGAAAGTCCATCCTACCCCCACATCAGGCAACTCGGCAGCAGGTAGGGAAAATGTAAGCCTCTACAGATTCTCTAGTTTCTTTAGCTTTAAACTGTCATGGAAAAATACAATTATGGTTTTCTACTAAATGATTTTTGGCTTCAGAACTGGGTACCTGTGGACCTCAGAGTGCTTTGCCAAGTCATCTTCTTTGCAAGGAGATGTCTTTGAGCTGTTTAAGTTTGCACGTGCATTGATAGATACACTCCACTGCCAGAGCAATGTCCAACATGAGCACTTGTGCACTCTCATCTCTCCTGCAATCCTGAGCAAGCACAGGCATGTCCACAGGCATTATTCAGGGACCAGCTCGTGAAAACAGATCTTTGTTTTCCCTCTTGCTCCTGGTTGCCCATTTCTGCCATGGGCCCCCAGTCCACTCCAGCTTCAAGAAGACCTTACAAATCCTTCTCTAGCAGCTGGCTGGACTGTGAAGTAGAGATGGGCTGGCTGATTTTCACCACTGGGCTCATTACTGGCAAAATCATTACTAATCTAAAGTTAAAGAATTTGGACCTATTTTTGGAATTCAACTCTGTTACTTCTGTACAAGTTGTGCTGTCTTGCTGTACCGCTCTTGGACCAGAAGGAAGCAAGGTGGTTGAGACTGCAGAGAAAATAGGGAATTTTTTTCCCTTCTTTCACAAGCCTGTATCAAACTTGAAGTGTTCAAAACGTGTATCTAGTGATTACAATTCATCCCACTTCATAAAATTGCTACAAGTACCTCTTGCACCACTCAAGACTTAACTCATGGAAGAATTAAATTGCCTTTTATATGTTGGCAGAAGGTTGATGCCTGCAGGTAAAAACTAGGATTAGTGTTAAAGTATAAATTGTGGAAGCTTTTGCAGCACATCAATCTACAATGAATAGAAATTTCTAGCTCTGAGAAATTTCATGTTCCCTCGACCTTTCCAAATGCAAATATTCCCTGAGACATTAAAGAAGAAAACCTATGGATCAGCAAAAATTGCAGATGTGAGCACTAGCATCACTTGATGCTGTGCTTGACATAATAAGGCCTACTCAAAAAGAATGCTGTATTCTGTTGCCCAATTACAGAAAATACTGTGTGGTACTTTTGCACACCTCATTAACACATCAAGTGCTCAGCTCTTAAGAAGTGCATTAAGATTATGTATCTATTACTGGAACAAAGTCACTTGCACGATTCACAGCATTGAGGAGAGATATCAGTTGCTAAAATAATAGTAAATGACATGAGGATTTCCTTAATAGCTTTAGAGTTCAGCTAGGCAACAGTAAATGAACACGTGGGTATTATAGCAATAGGACGGAAGACATGTGATGTAATTTATCCTGAAACATAAAAAAAATCCTTGCAGAATCCTTTCATTCTAAGTTTCTCATTTAACACTAGTAATGAATGGCTATTTTAAACAGGAAAATGCTATTTTAAGATTTAATATGAAATATTTTTCTGATGGTTGTTCTAAAACTTATTAATATTATAGCATTTTCTAAAAGTTATTAATATTATACAATTTTATTCTAAAACTTACTAATATTATATAATTTTCTAAAACAACACTAATTTATCTGGTGTTTTAGTTGCCCAAGATTTATACTTCAGGGAAAACAGGTGACTTTTTTCTACACAGGAAAGGTCTTGATTTGCATCTCCTTATCTCTCCATGCACTGAATTGAGACATGTTTTATTCTTTGATTTTATTATTGCTGAGACACAGTCCTGCTCAGAATGCTATTTTGGTAATCCACTAACTGAAAACCACCCCCACACTTTTGCCGCTCCACAGAAAATTCTTTTTTCTTGGCAAAAAATGTGTGAAATGACCATCTGAGTGGCTGAGAACTTTCTGGAGATGAACCTAAGCAGGTTCTTTTCTACAGATGGGCAACACCAGAACTGGACCCCAGATTTCTTCCATCATCTAGACAGTCCAGGTGAGAATTACAGTGACGCACACATTTCAAAAACTGTACCAAGTTACTCTTTCCCCCCCCAGGATACTGTAATTATTTTGTACTATGAGTTTAACACCAATTTGGAGAAATATCTGATGATGCCAATCCTGTCTAAGCTAAAGGAAACCATTTTTGTTGATGCTTTTTTTGCATCTGTTGCATTTCTCTTTCTCTCCCTGAGAGTTCTGCACAGGGATATGTGCACATGCACAAAATTGCAGCATGTTAAGTGTTCCTAAAACACAGAATTAAATGCTTGAAGCTTTATTGTGATAAACTGTGGTGACATTTTTCCTACAGCTAAAGTATCAGTTCCCATAAAACACACTAGTCTGTGTCCCAATAAGTATTTTTGTCAGCCTTCTGCACCTTAAACAATGTAGGAAGTGTAGCAATCCTGGGTAAAAGAAATCTTGCTTGCAGTTTTTATGACCAAAGGTCATGAAATTTTTATAAACTTCTTTATGTTTATAAACTTTTAATATAAGTTTATAAACTTTTAATAAGTTTATTGTATTTACTATATTTATGCATTTATAATATTCATAAGTTTGTAAACTTATAGTCTTTTATGCTTATATACTTATACATACTATATATATATATGCTTATAGATACTTTTATACTTGACCTTATAATCTTTTTATAAACTTCAAGGTTTTATTAATTTTTAAGTCTGTCACTCAGCTAATTTATTTTGCAGCTCCCATCAATAACACTTAAAAAAAATCAAATGAGACAGTGAAAAGTTTCACTATCACTTCAGACTGCTGAAAAGCAGAAATACTGCATTTCTGGGGTTTCAGGTTAAGAAATGTAAAAGATACATCACACACACATACACACACACTTCCAGAAGACAGAATGAGAATTTTCAGATCCTCCCAGGACAGCTGTCTGTGAGCACCCCCCTTCAGAGCTGCCCTGTGCACTGCACTCACCACGAAGGTACCTTTGCTCTGCTCCAGCTTGGCTCTCAAGCTGCAGATCTTTTAAACCTGGGATATCACCACAGCATCAGTAAAATACAGCAGACATCACACTGCATGCACACAAGAAAGCCCAAGGAGTAATTCTTTTAAACTCCACTTTTCAAAATATTTTGTCAAAGCTGAAAACACTGGTGAGCAACAATTACATAGGATAAATGTTTTACAGGCACTTTGCCAAGCAAAACCTTCCAGTTTATTTAAGCCCTCATTTTATTTTCAGACTTGTTCTCATTTTTTACTCTCTCACAAAGTAAAAATACCACATACAGAAAGTCAGGACAAGATTAATTCAGTAAAAATTAAATTTATACATTTATTTTCCAAATTTCCCCTATTCTTTCCAGTTCTGAGTGACAATCCTTAATCCCTCAATTTGCACCACCTTCCTGTGAACACACCTATTCTTCAGAATGCCCTGAGATGTTGTGTGAACACATGAATCCTTGATGTGGGAAATGCAGGCTTGGGAGCCCTCTGGGTTCCCTGATAGCTTGGCTGTAGCCTGGATGGAAAAATCTCATATTTTGTAAGCAGGTACTGACTCCCAGATATTCTGGTATCTCAGGTGGTCCAGCCCCATGCATTAAAGGGCATTATAAACTCCCTGACAGAGGCTACATAATTAAAGTTTTATAATTCATAGCTTTAGATCCTTGATTCCCCAGGATGCTGTCTTATGGGAATAGTTGCACTGAAAAAAACCAAACCAAATAAAAAAACACTAAAAAAACCCAAACAAAAACCAAACAAATGTATATACATATATATATATATATATATATACACTCACTGGTGATTTCAAGGATAGGATCACAACAGTCAGATGTTAGCAATGGCTGAGGGACTTCCCTAAGGAAAGTCTTCAGGATAACATCAGGAAATGGATATCCTGGTAATCATCAAAATTAACTGACTTGCCTAAAAGGAGAAGAAGGAAAATGAGTGTTCAATGATATGTTTTACTTTTTTTTCAAACTACTCCTTGAAAACTGTTTCACACAACATTTTGAACAGAAAATCTCTTGGCCTTCTGCTGCTGGTAACTCCTGATATTTTATTTTTTCATTTTTCATTTGCATAGAGTTTTTAATGAAATTACTTCACAGGCAAGTCAGTGATATTCAAAATTACTCCACTACATTTCATAAATTATTAGGTAAAATTATATTTCTTTGCCATAACCATTATCAAGATGACACAGGGACTCTGTAACTACAGTAAAGTGCATAGACTCAATACTTTCTTACCATCTTTTTATAAATATATCTTTTTTTACTCAAACCTCATTAGCTGTTACAGATTTTATTACAACTCTGGTATGACATCCAGACATGACTTGCTACTCAGTAAGCATTAAGTGCCTATTGCTATCTCTCAGGTTTCTCTACTAATGCTCTTATTATTTTATGTTAGAAATGGCCTTGATTAATTAACTGTAAGAAATTGCATTTCTGCTTCACCAACAAAACCAGGATGAAGAAAGCACTCACAGTGCCACTGGCAGTGGTGTGATGACAGCTTACCCTGACTGTAGAGTTTCTGCACATCTTTGATAGTCTGGATGCTGGCTGACCTCCTGAAGAGGCTCTCTACTAGTAGTCCTGGAAAATAATTTAAAAATTAAACAACTATAAAACAGATTTTAAAAGAAAACTGTTTTAATGTATTTTGGTGCAGACCATTGCTCCTTCCACCTCTCTGGAAGCCTTTGGGGCTCAACACTGCCTGTCCATGGTATTTTGGAATGTCTGATTCTATTCCTGAGGCAGTTCTGAATTATTTATCATTAATCTTCTGAAAGGTGTCTATCTCACATTGTGGACTAACTGAAATCTGACTTCATCTAGAGAAGAAAAATGTTGGAAAAGGATCTCGTTGGACCTCAGTTTTCAAGGTAAATTATTTATCTCAATGATTACATAAAATAGGATGGGGCCAAGAACTGCTGCTTTTCTTGAGGCTTGTGGTACTTCTTGCTTTTTGAGTTTGGTAAAACTCTCATTCACCTCTCCCTTTCCTTCTTTCCAGTTTGTGCTGTTCCTTACACCCAGCCCATAATGTCATTTCACCCACATGTTTTCTGAATTGGAAATTCCTACTGGAAGCAGAGTAATCTAAAATATTAGCCTGTGCTGGTCTGACAAAACATAACATTGCAGTTTTGAGAAGGTTGGCAGACTACCCACAGCCTTGGAGGCACCACAGGATGTTTCTATATATAAGTGAGGAAGACCAGATAGACTTTCTTTTTTTTGATGCAGGTAAGTAGCCAGAGAAACATTTGAGTATTTCAGCTAAAGTACATGTGGGTTTGTTTGCATGATCAAGAATCTTTACTTTGTTCTAGAATAAATGAGTCATACATTAATGAAGGATACTCATTCATTCTTGCAAATTCACTCAGGTTGCAGATGTATTTCATACATGAAAAATCAGTAAATAATAACAAAATTCCTTAATGAACCCATCACCTAGTATTTGTCACATGAATTTAGGTCAGTATACTAAAAGAACTGATAACATACCAATGAAGTACATTTTCATGGACAAGTTTCAGGAACTTTTGCCAAGGACCCCAAGCTCTGCTTGAAAGCACTCCACTGACCAGGTTTAGAGGTTTGGCTGGAGTTCAGCTCAATACAGCTCCCAGTTCCTTCCTAAGAATACATGCCCTTGCCTCTTGAATTGAATATTAAAATTTTAGCCCATGCAATCAGTTCTGGAAGGAGTATGACATTTCAAACTATCATATCTAAGCTTCTTAACATGTGTGGTCACTAAAGGAACAAAAATATGATATATTTGACCCCTGGCTTTATTCTCCATCAGGTTTTCTTTCAATTAAATAAATTTATAGCAAATAGCATCACTGATAGTAAAACTGTTCCTTTAGATTTATAGTACAGCCTGTCTAAAAACAGTTTGGGAAGAAGCAGCTGGGAATTGCTAGCTCATCAAGGCACTGTCCTCAGCAATTGTTTCCCAAGAATTTGCAGAATTTTATGCTGGTTGTCACTGACTAGAGGTGTTCTACACAACTCTTTCAGAAAACAGATACCCCTAAACACTTCCAATTTGCTTTTCAGGAATTGGGTTAATAATTAATGCTTTTATCTGATGCGAATCTCGCTGTAAGGGCTGCAGTGTAATAAATATCAATTATTAACAGGTTTATACATTTATTGGCTAAGCTTTCAAGTGTCTTATTAAAGACATTTGTTTGTAGCACAGATAACAGTTGTACTTGTCTGGCTCTGCATCCCATCAATGCTGCTGTAATGGCACATAACACTAAGCTCTTATTGATTATGGTTTTGGAGAGGGAAAAGCAGCTTTTATCTTCATCTGCAAAAGGCTGGGATACAGCAATATCTGTGCTTCTTCCAGAATTCTTTTATCAGGCTAGGTGAAATTGAATCAATACACAGCAATTTGTTTGATCACAGGTGGCAACAAGCCAGCTGCCAAAGTAAATATACCCAGTGCTTTTTACATTTGTGGGCAAAGCAAGCCAAATGACAGGACACATAATTAAGTGTAGTTAGTACAATTCTTAGGGAAAAAGAAAAAGCCATATTCTTCTACAGTAAATGAACTGTAACAGCAAGAGTCACATCTTCCTTTTTTTTTCCTTTCTGTGAGTATAAGATGCTGAGACCATAAATAAGAAATTAGGGCAAATCTTAAATCAATCTATGGCTCTAAACTCAGTCTCTTAAACAGAAATATGAGTCAACAGCAATTATGCTCTTGATGAGGGGAAAACAATGAGCCAGGGTACACTGATGAACTGGGCTAAACATGAACTGAAAAGGATATTTTGCTTTAGAAGTTTGTAAATCTATTAATTGCCCTTAGTGCTCTCTGTGTTTAAGTTTGTCAGGTGAAAGCTGCCTAAATCCATTATTTAAGAGATGGCATTTCCCTTGTCACACAACAGGAACAGCATTAGCATATGATTCCAACAAGGATCTCATAACAAGCAATGGGAAGTGTCTCAGTTTGAGACAGAGGAAAGTTAGGAGAAAACATCCTGAAAGGGGCATCTCCTGTGAAAAAGTAGGATTTGGCAAGCCCTTCACCCACCACTATTACAGGAATTTCTTGGTGGAGAGTGGAAAAAACCTGTTTATTCAACAAGCAGACTGCACACAGACATATCCTCCCTTTTCCTTGCATTCTGTGCAGTGAATACAGAGCAATGAGAGGGATGTCTGCAGCCCATAAAGGTGATTTGCACTGCAAGAAAGTGCACAGCAAGAGCAGAGGGCAGAGGAAGAGCCAGGCCCAGCCCTACTGAAAAGCTGAGCAGCAGCAGAATCCAAAGTGTATTTGTGTCCTTGCAGTGTAGAACTGCACACTCTATATGTATGAATGAATAGTCTCAGTTTACACTTGGAATCCCTGCAAATAATTTATTTGTAAGGCCTGATGTGTTGGTGTAGGATGTGCCCCCTGTTGACAGAGTGACAGAACTACTCTTTGTCCCCCTAAAAAGGAAAGAAGCCCAGAAGTTTTTCTCATGGATTAGGTGAAAAGCCACCTCATAGTACCCAAGAGACTTCACCTCAGACTTAAAGATAGATAATTGGACAGAAGTCAAAAAGTCCCACCTAGACAATTTAGTAGAAAAAGAAGAGAACAAAGAAACTAATCACTTTTGTGAAGTGTTTTACCAGGAGCAAGACCTCTCGCACCTGGCTCTGTTTTTCTGTTTGTTCTTTAGCCTTTTATTAAACTTTTTTGTTTCCAACACTGCAGCAGAAACCATCCTGCTTATTTTTATGCCTCCAAAGGTAGCTGAGCTATCTTGGGTGTGTTATGGGCCTCCGAGAGCTTATTAGACCTGGCTCAAGGAGGATAATGTAACATATTTGTTTTGCATGGCTTGGTTTTAGGTGGAGAGGGAAGAAAACAGCCACTGATGTGTTTTTTCTGTGAGAAGCCGCTAGAAGCTTCCTCCATGCCTGGCAAAGCCAATCCCTGGATGGCTCTGAGAACAGACCCACTGCTAAGCCAATTGGAGAAGTTGGTAAGGCCTCTGTGATTAAATATTTAAGAAGGAGATCAAAACTGTGCGTGGGTTCTTCTGAGGGGTGGGGAGGCCCCACAGCCGGGGCCATCCCAGCACCGCGAGCGGCCACCACGGCCACGCGGCACCGCCACTGTCACCATGATATTTTATGAAAAATCCTTTGCTAGGATTTTTCTCCTATTCTAGCTGAGAAGCCTCAGAAAAGAAATGTAAACAATTAAGTATCTGATGGCTGTGGAATGTGGTGTGGACATTATTTATCAACAGGTGCACCTTTGGTTCATGTGAGTTGTTTCTATTTAATAACCAATCAAAGATGCAGCTGGGTCAGACTCAGAGTCACGAGGTTTTGTTATTCATTCCTCTCCTGTCCTTTCTAGCTTCTGAAGGATCTTTTTCTCTCTATCCTTTTAGTATAGCATTTTAATATAATATAATATCATAATATCATAAATAAGCCTACTGAAACATGGAGGCAAGATTCTCATCTCTTCCCTTGTCCTGGGACCCTCGAACACAACCATACCAGCATGGCCAGTGGTGTACTTGACCTGCCTGGCAATCTTGGTCAGAAAGAACTGTCCTGCTATACAGGCAGGTAAATGTAAATGTCAGATAAATGTAAACTGGGTCCAAGAAGGGGAGCTTTGGCTCCTTTTTACAGACTGGGAGGAGCTGCTGCAAGTATGGAATGCTGTTCTAGGTGTCTGGAGCTGAGGCACAAAATTTAAGTGCCAAAGAGGAAGACTGTGACCCCAGGCAATCTGTCAGAGGGACTGGAATCAGTAAGGTGAAAAAGGTTGAGTGAACTTAAGGGACTGAGAGCTTCCTGAGCTGGACACACCACTGCAGGTGCCTTGTCTGAATAGCAGCACAGCTCCTGCACCAGAGCTGCTCAAGAAATGAGAGTCTGAGTAGCGCAGAATGGATGCAAGGGATGCCAGAGGGCCGCTGATATTTCAAGAAATGCTAACTCTGCTGATGAAGCAGGATTTTGCAGAAGCTTCCGTGGTCTAACTCAGAGTTTCCAAAATTGATTTCAAGTACACAGATGTGAAAATGTAGCAATGGAAGAAAGAGTGGGACTACTGCACCTTGGGTGAAAAGGAAATCCCACTTCCTGCTAACGCTGCAAGGCTGAAAACTGCCAAAATCAAATGAAACAGGGCAATGACAGTAAATTTTTGTCACTTCCAGAAGACAAACTGAAGCTTTCACTGTGCTTATGGTCATGTCTGGAGTGCAAAGAATGCTGCCAGTCACCCCTCCAGGGCTGTCAGCAACCCACAGGGTCAGCATTTGCTGGAGATGGCAAATGGAGATATTCCAGATTTAGAGGAAGAGTTAAAATCACAGCAGACAGCAGATACAACAGATACCTACACACCTGCAATCAAGTACAAAAAATGCAGTAGGTGACATGTCTGTCACCTACTACTTAACAGCATGACAGGTACTTGGCTTTCAAGCATCAGCTGGCTGAGAATGTCAAAAAATGCTGACAAAGGAATGCCTCTTTAGAAATCTGGTATGTGGAAATTTCTTTATGATAGGGAATATCACAGCTCTGAGCAAACCTGGGATTAGCTGGAAAATAATAACATTAACAGAGCCCTGGACTCTCCTTCCTGAGGGGACAGGAGGATTGAGAGCTGGGGAAAAAATTAGGTAGTTCAGCTAAGAAGAGCTTGAACTGGGCTATGTATGGGTGGGCAGCACTACTCTGCCACTGATTTCTGAAGATGCAGAAAGTAGGACAAGAAGTCTCATCACATCAGAGCCCATCCCTTCCAAGATGTACTGATACTGCACTGAATAGATGAAATTTTAGCCAAAGGTGGACAAGGTTTGGAGAAAACTCAAGGATGGTTACTGCTTTCAGAATGGCAAACATTTCATCTGGGAGAAATTCTGCACTGATGACGATGAGCCAAGCCTGGAGTTTTTTTAACCATAACCATCATGACTATTTTTTTCCCTGTACTGCACATTTGGTGTTGCTGCTTCAGAAACTGTGAGTGTCTGAGCTGACTCAGCAACTGTTGTGGGAGAAGAGTACAAAATTGGTGCAGCAGTGATGAGACAAAACACCCAGAGAGAACAAAAGCAAGACATAGAGATTTTATGTCAGATCAATGCAGGAATAACTAGTCATTGGTCACTAACACAACATAATGATGGCCATAAACCTTCTGCTTCTTTAAAATCTTTAAATGGGCCCAAAAAAGTACCAGGCAAAAGTTTAACTTAATTAGCATTTCAGTGGCTATATTCTCATCCAATTTCTAGGCAATAACAGATGTAAGAGGTAGTAATGTTAGTGCCTCACTCATCCTCATTATAGCTCTCTTGACTCCTGTGATTAGTAAGGAAGAGATATTTGCTTATTAAGGATTATTAGGCATATGGAAGGGTGATTGTTTCATAACAATTTAAAACACAAAAAAAATATATATCTGGCTTTCATCTGCAGATGGGGCATGCACTGATATACTACACAAGCTCTAATTATCCTCTTACAATTATAATTACAGGAATGCCACTTACTTGTGTTCAACATTCTTGGTAGTGAACTATTTACATTCCCCTGTATTCAATAATAATATTTGGTACAAGCCACCTCTGCAAAGTTTTCATAATCAGCACCACTCTGGAAGCAGCACATCCAAAGGCCCTTATGGGTCTGAGTGGAAATCCTGAATTTGGACCATGAGGTATTCAAAAAGGTCTATTAGGAACTCTTCACCCACTGCAGAACTCTTCACCTTTGACAGCAGAACTGACCCCACTTGGCCTTTCCTGCTGCAGGTATTTTGGGGTTAATCAGCATAATGACATGATAATGGCCAGAATAAATATTCATGATCTGACTTGTAAGACCAAGTCCCACCACCATGTTCCCCATTATCACAGACCTCTGAGAGCTAAACTAAAGGCTGTGAATACTCCACAAAAAAAAAAAAAAAGTCATGAGAAAAGCTACTGCCACCAGGGCCAAGCTCATGACATAGCCCTCAGAGAAGCAGCACAGCCATGCAGTGACAGTGCAGCCCCATTAATAAACTATTCTTGCTAATAAACCACACCAGGAAGGGAGTTCTAGGAAGTTCTAGTTCTCTTTGCACACCAAGCAAAGTTGAAATGCCCAGTGAAATGATATCTCCCAGTAAGGCACTGAAGAAGAACAGGGGGTGGGAGATGAGGTCAGTGTTGAGGCCAATGTTCCAGATGCCAGAGA